AAGGCAGGAAGGCAGGAAGGCAGGAAGGCAGGAAGGAAGAGAAAATGGACTTCATGTAACATCTCAGAAGAGGAGGTTGCTTTGATCTAGTTAGTAAGTTCTCAGTATTGCCTACATGTTCTTCCCTTTTCCAGTACTGGGGTTTCCTTCAAGACAAGTCCTCTTATATCTTGGCTTACTAGGATTTGACATGGTGACAGTTGCTCCAATGTCTTTGGAGTGTGTGTGGGAGGCCCTCTGATTTTGCACTATGCAGTCCTCACTAGATAAAATAGAGAAAGGAACCTGGTCATATATAGTCTTGTGTGTTTGCCTTCTGAATCTGACTATTACATGCCTCCTGGAAAAGTCTCCATTATTTCCCAAGGTACGAATAAGCTCTTTCAAATCATGCCCTGTCATTCAGACAAAATAGCTCATTCAAGGCTCCAGGAAAAGTCCTTTAATCAGGGCCCATCAAAACAGAGAGGAATATATAAGGTGTGTGGGTGTGATTGATTTACCTCCTTTTGTCCCTATCATTCTCTCAGATGTGCATTTTAGATTTGATCAAAAGCCTGTCAAAGCAAGAATAAAATGTTATTTGACCTCAATGGGCTTTGTACCAGGCACAAAGGATCATGCCTTGTAAATGACATTTGGACAAGACCCTTTGTTCATTTTTGGAGAGATTTCTGGTTTAAAATTGATCTTGCATGATAGGAACATGTCCTGTAAACATTTGTGTGTGGTAGTAAGCAATGGTAACATTTAAAATGTGAGCAATTACATAACATGGGACAGGAAGAATGTTTGCAATAAACAGCTTGAAGAATAATGGTTTATTGTTACAGGAAATTGGACTGGCATCTCTGGGAGCTCCAGATGATTTCATCGAGAAACTTGCTACGGTAATTTAATAAATGAGGGCTCAATTTTCCAAAGCGCCCTGTGTTGTCTTAATTCTGCTGCCACTGAAGTCACTGATAGAACTCCCATAGAGTTGAATGAGAACAGAGTGAAGACCATGATTGGAAAACCCCACCCTGAAACAGTTGCATTAAAGGAAAATAGCTTTGGCACCCCTTATTCAAAGTGACAGTTGTGATTAAACACAGAAGCCCAGACAAGATTTCCTCCAGCACAAACATATTGGGCAAGAAAAGATGGTATGTTACTACATCCCCACAGGAAATTTCAGGAGGCAGCTTCAGTAGCTGTTCTAACTGCAAGCATCTCTTCCCCTCCACTCTGCCAGGCAGATAATGTCCTCTGCAGTCAATGTCACTCACCTGAATGCTACTCTGAGACTACTGAGACCCAGAGTTGCAAAGTTCAAATAAAAGCAAGGGTATTCATGTGAGATTAGTGTCACCAGTGCAAACCCACCTGGGCAAAGCATTGCACAGCTTTGATGCTTCTGATAGATGAGGTAGTTCTTTTGAGCCAGGGCAGGTATCCCTTCAAAATGACAGACCAAGGAGTCAGACTAGACCACACATCATCTTCCTTCACTATTGCACTAACAACCTGCTCATCCTCTTTTTGCTGCAGTTAGATGTCTTCTGTGTGAAGCAGGACACAAACTTTTATAAACTAAGGTTGAAACTTTTACTGGGTTGACCAGCCAAAGTAAAGCTTTATTGCTTTAATTTCATTGCCTCTGCTGACAAAGAAGAACACAGTAAAATATAACTGTGTCAGGGAACTGAACTGCTTCTCAGGCACATGGAGTCTAGCTCTGTGCTAGAGAAGAATTTCAGTCTGAGGGGACATTTGTTGCATTTATACATTTGAATTTGACACATGACAACATTTTAAATAGAAATTCAAGCTCCAAATGTATTCATTTAGACATACCGGTTTTGATCAAGGAATCATAATTTCTGTCTAATTTTCTTGCTAGGTTTATTGGTTTACGGTGGAGTTTGGATTGTGTAAGGAAGGTGATTCACTGAAGGCATATGGTGCAGGGCTGCTGTCTTCATTTGGGGAGCTTCAGGTGTGTTCTAGAAAACATTCCGAATATGTTTATAATCACTAAAATTTCTCTTCTAAATATATTCACATCTTTATTTTTGCTTCATACTTTGTGCATAGAAAAAGCATGAAATGTCATACTTCATTGAAGAGCTCTGATAAGTGTGTGGGTGTATGCAAACACAAGGAACTCATACCTGTTTCTTTCCTAGTGGGTGGCATTATCACGTATATCACAGAAGCAACTCTTTCCTGTCTGAGGCGGGATGGCGTTCAGTGGGTCTATATTTCTTTCACAGCACATTTAAACACTTCTAAATAGAAATAAATTTCTTATCTTTTTGTTCATAGTATTGTTTATCAAGTGAACCTGAGATTCAGCCCCTAGTCCTGGAGAAGACTTGTGTGCAGAAGCACCCTGTTACTGAGTTCCAGCCTATCTACTATGTTGCTGAAAGTTTTAAAGATGCAAAAGAAAAGCTAAGGTAAGACAGTCATTCCAGAGAAGATCCCATTTCTTGTCCATTGCAAATACATGCAAGTGCATCCCATTGCCATAATGGATCTTGGGTTGACCATAATGTTTCAAGAGGCATTAGAAAAAGATGGTGCAAAGCTTAAAGAGGCTAATCAGTTGGTATCTTCAGAATCTTGGGTAAATATGGGCAGTAATGGGAACATACCTTATACATGAAGCCAAGAATTTGTGTTTAGTGTAATAAGAATCTTATCTAACCAAAATGCAACAAAAAAAAATACCAGTCCAATTGCAATGATACTAATACTTAGGGTCAAAGCTGGATAATTAATGCAAAACAGGCTCTTTTAACATTACTAGAGTTAACAGTTGTTGTAAGAGAAGAAATCTCCTAGCATCTACTCCTTTACCTCTGAGGTTATGCTCACCCTTAAACTTTGTGTTGTGTCTTAAGTCACAAAGTTTCAATCTTGTGGTTGTCAAGTAACAAGCACCTTGAGGTCTTCAGAGCAGGACTGTGATGTTAATGAATGGAGTTTCCCCTGTCTTTTGTGAGGAGATGGGCAGTATCAGTGCTTCTTTTCTTCTTCCTCAACCCTGAGGACCATTTTTATGTTTTCTAACATGCTTTATCTCTTGCTTTTCCTACATTGGCCTCCAAATCTGTGTTACTTCTGAATTTACTATTTATGCTAAATATTTTTGTCTTTATCCCCTTGGTTTCCTCTAAACTGCTTTTTCTCCACTCCTAAGTTTGCTTTACTGTGAATAATTGACAAGTGGGAGTTGTTGATAGCCCAGGGACCAGCAGCATCATGCTTGAGCCTTTAGTGCCTCTTATCAGCCCATGCTGATTCTCCTTTATGTTGCATCATTACTTGAGGGTCAGACTTAGTTCACTATATACAGTATAACTATTTGTTATTTCTGCCTATATAAAAATTATTAACAGTAGGCATTATAGCTCACAATTATTCGGAATTAAGCAAAACTAAAACAAATTAGGTAATAGCTCCATGGTCATTAGAGAATTGTTATTACAGATAAACAAAACTTCAAGCAAGCCTAATATCCCCAATCCTGAGGCCTGTGTGGTTAGCTTAATACAAAGCCTCCAGCTTGTTACCAGCAGTGTGTTTACAAGACTACAAGGCTAAGCAGTAAATCTTTCAGTCATCTGTGACTCAAATACAGATTCAGTTCCAGTTCAATAAGATTTTGAAATAGTGGTCCAGGTTCAGTTCTGGTTCTTGAAACAAGAATGGCTCAGACTGTGTTTGGAGTTCAGCTTGGATTTCACCTCACAACAGTATTTCTATTCCTGTTAAAAAAAACACCACCATATTTCTGGATGTTAGTCAAGCCACTGGGGGGTTAGCCTTGGTTCACACTCAACAAATTTTTTATTCGGAGATGGCACACAAGGACTTGTCCCAGATCTGCAGTTTCTTATCTTTCTCTCTACCATTCATAGATAAACACCTTCTGCTACTCCAGACTCCTCAGCTCCAAGGTCTTTCTAGCTACCTCCCCTGCTGCTTCTTTAGTCATCATAGGCCTGCAGCTTCTCTTTTTACCCTTTTCTCTGGGATAACATCTGAGAAAGATGTCCTTCTCTTCTGATCTATGTTATTAGCATCCTGCACGTAGTTTCTATCTTCTCTATATCTATCTTCTCTGTTTCTATCTACTTCTATCTACTCTGAGTAGGAAGTTCCTTGAGGAAGATGCTGCCTTACTTAGTAAAAAATATCTTAGAGCTTCTTTTATTTGTTTCAAGGACCAAATTGAAAAAGTGGTTAAATTGAAATAGGGGCCTGGGTGCTGGTTGAGCGTCTGCGTTAGGGGCTTGCACCTGGACATGTTGTTTATGTGTAACAGAAAACATTCCTGAAAAATTATCCTGAGATTGGCCTGAAACTTTTCAGTTTAAGGCATTCATCTTCTGACTAGGATCTTACCTTCAGATGAAATTTAGGAAGACCATCTTCTAATGTGATCTCCCCTCTTAGAAAAACTAGACTGATGCCACTAAATTCGTCATAGTCAACATACTGTCTTGCCTTGTGGTCTGCTTGCACTGAATTCTGTTTGAGACAGTGGCCTTATCTGATAATAATTAGGTCTAAACTGAAGAAACATTGTGGGGGCATGCAGCATATTCCACTGTTCTGGGCATTTGAGATTTACCATGCTGAGTCACAGTCTGTATAGTGCGGCTTCATAATCAACTCCTGCGTGCTTTCCTTCCTCTTTCAGCAATAACTTCAGTAATCCAAAGCAGATATATAAGCCAGTATCCTGCTGGGGTCTAAAAGGAGCCTGGAACAATAGCTCTGACTGTCTCATTCCATTCAGAGTCCTTCTTTCCACAGTTTTGTGGTTATGCAAATTAGTATTTTCCCAAGATACCAAGATCTTAATGCTTCTGCCATGGATTAACTATTTTGCAAAAGAGAACACTGCAAATAAGGGTGAAAAGAATGCTGCTTCACTCCATTGGCTATCTCCTATCTTTGAAATTACCTGGAAACTTCTACCAACCATGCCAGAAGTTAGCTCTCTGCTTTCTCCTTGGTATGCCAGGATGGCATAGGCACTTGACTTTATTTTCCCAGAAACTTCAGACTTGGATCAGAATCTCTATATTTTGCATCACTGGAAGGAAAATGAGATTTTAAAGTTTGGCAGATCCCAGTGCTACATAGTTGGCCTGTACCAGGAGCAGTGTTGCCATGCCAATAACTTAATTAGTCCTGTTCAGGAAAAACTAAAGGTGGTAGGGACAAATGCAGATTCAAGTGTGTTGCAGGATGCTGTAGGTCTCAGATCACTCAGCAGGAATTTCAGTTATTTCCTCTGATGGATTTTCTTATCAACCTGATCAACAAATTCACACACCAAGAAAAGAGCGAGTTAGTGAAAAAAAATAGATTTTCAACTTTATATTTGTTAACGTATTTTTTCTCAGGAAATTTGCTCAAACGATCCCTCGTCCTTTCTCTGTTCGGTATAATCCCTACACCCAGAGGATTGAAGTCTTGGACAATGCAAAGCAGCTGAAGAACTTAGCTGACACTATCAATAGTAAGCAATTACAGATTTGCTACCTTGAATTCTTCCAAACTTGGGTCAGAAATAGGAACCGCAAAGCAGATTCTGTCTGTTTTTATTTAATATTCTGAGCCTGACCAAGATAAAGCAGCACACATCTCCTTTCTCAGGCAAAAAATAATTATAGACAAACTTAACAAGAATTTCCACTTGACTGTAGCTTCTTTAATCTGAAATACCCAGTTTTAGTGGAGGTGTTAGGAAAGGTCAGATGGCCTTGAGATGAATTCCGATGTGTGGCTCCAGCTGTTTTCAGTAAAGAAGAGAAGGAGAAGCTGGTCTTTAATCACATTTCCTTTTGCCATTCTAACTTTTTCCTGATACATTTTCCCCCTCACGTTTGCTAGCCTGCCAAGAGCCAGCACCTCTGATACCGTGAACCAGCCTTTTATGGCTGATAAAGGCAAAGGGCTGACTCTGCAGACCTTACTGCAGCAATAAATGTGTCCAATCCAGCACTTCTTTACTCACCTTATTCTTTCAGGGAATGGATATAAGGGGTAAAAAATATACAGGAGTGTTAGAAATGTACTAGCTCTAGAATTAACTACTCTGATTATCTCTGTTGCAGGTGAGATTGGACTCCTTTGCAATGCCCTCCAGAAGATAAAATGAAGATTTGTTGTAACTTGGTAATTACTGGCTACTGGCTAGAAGCTGCCATGTGCAAATATCAGTCTTCATCTAGTCTCAGTCTGTTATATTCCAGTGTACTGCATGAATGCTTATGTTATATATCTTAATTATTATAGATTAGCAGAGATATAGGCATCTGCAGGTGACCCTTGACTTTTTTGGCCTTCAGACACTAATCCATTTTTTCTCACTAGTGCATAAAAATTACCTTATTTCTGGGAATCTGGGGAAAGCCTCCATATGTCTTGTTCCAAAGATTAGCCGAAGGAGATCTTCACCATGTAGATCTATAGTCTGCTGCACCTGTGAGATTGCATTACCACTCTGGGACCAGGGACAGGATGTCAGTGATGAACAAACTAATCCTCTTCGCTTTCTCTCACAATCACTCTCCCCTCAGTTCCTCACATTTGTCCAAGGTTCCCATGGATTCTCAAACTCTATACCTTTCAGGGCATGTTCTGCTTGGCCCTCTGTACTTTTACTTCTACACACAAACACCTCTATCCTGAATTGTTTTTTTTCTAAAAATATGATATTGCCATTGATCCAAAGCACAGATGCTAGCAGAAAAGATAATAAATATGGTGCAACCTCATTAACAAAGATTTATCAGCTAGTATAAATATACTGTATTTACACAAGCACCAATCTCAAAAGATCTGTGCAAGTCAAGAATACTGCATGCTATGATGTGTCATTGGTCTTGAGAGTGGAATCCATATGCAAGCCACTGAGCCTGCTTATCCAGAACAGTCTGTGCCTCCATACAGTATCCACAAAAAAAAGCCCCTTCAGAGGGGAGTTACCTAAAGACAACTCTGTGTGGCTTTTTGCAGTTGGATGTGAAGTCAGTTCTGTGGAAGGAAGAAACCATGCAGGTGTTTTAACAGGGCTTCATTACTAGTCCAGTCTCAGAGCTGTGCTGTCTGTAATGTTGTGCAATATCATGAATTCAGAGCTGATTCAGGAACAGTAATTTTATGGAAAGGAGAGATCTCTCTTAATAGACATACTCAACTACTCACTGTGGAAGGCTGACTGTGAAGGTTACCTTTTGCTGTGTCTGTCCTTCTCTGAGACTGCCTTATTCAGTATGAGGTGCCTCCTAACTTTCTGGACTCACAATCTAGAAGGTAGATTACCAGCACGCTGATACCAGCACACTGGAAATGGAGAAGAAGTGGGTCTTTCACTAGGGTCCCCACCAAAGCCATGGAAAACCTGGGTTACTTGTTTTCCTAGTCTGACTGCATTCAAACCCAAATGTCATTTTTCAAGACAGGTCCTAAGTCATGATACCTTTTTGAATCTTAATCTCCCATTTGAGCTTTAATCTCCCTTTTGTTGGTGAAAGCGGTTTTATTTTTTCCTGGAGTACATCTCAGCTGAGTCAGCAAACGGACCCAGAGGTGATTTCAGCTTAACCCAATGGCTGAGCATGGAGAGAGAAGATCTTTGCTGTTCAGGAAGCCATTTCTGCATTTGTCCAATAACTTTCGCTCAAATCAGCTAAAAGACTTCTTGAACTGGTCTGCATTGTGTAATGGGTCCTTGTAGCTCCCTAGCTGAAGGAGGGAGATCAGCACTTGTAAGTTGGAACAGAATGGAGCAAAGCAAAACTGAACAGTATTTTTCGCTTGAAACATTTCTGCATCATGATACTAACGCAAATCAAGGGTCACATTTCTGTTAGAAGATTCAAAGATGGAGAGGGATTTGAAAGTCCATGAGTCTCATACCTTCCATTGTACTTGTTTTGTATTTGTAGTTTGAAAATCAATAGAGCTTCAATGTGAGCATCATCCTTTAGGAAGATAGAAAGTACAGCTGTTTTCATTATATTTATGGTGCGTAATAATATCAGTCTAAGTATACCAGCTGGAACCCTTTTCAATTGACATATACTTATGCAAAATAGTATAATTTTGATGCTTTGAAGTAACCTTTTTTATCTCTGTATCTTTTTTATTCCTTTTTTTTCTCATGACAATGTCTGTATAGATTTTTTCAATCCTGCTTGACATGTATTTTCAGTGTGAAAGTAGCCCACATTTTTCTCTTTTAATATAAGAGGACCCATAAGGTAATTGTATGCCACAAAGAGACAATTTCATCCCACAGGTAAAGACTTTCAAACTAACCTCAGACAGCTTTCCAAGCTTCTCTGCTTCTGGCTGTTGTTATGAGTGATAGCAGCAGTAGATCTATAGTGATATTGAAAACCCAGGATTCATGATTGTCTTTTATGTGCAAGCAGAATAGTTAAAGAATATTGATGCCGCATCTGATTCTGTGTCCCTTAATGCAGGTTTAAATGATCAATAGCTCCAGCCAAAGCAGCCTAACATGGCTGTTCAGCAAGACTGAGAGATGAGAAAAAGTTAAATGTTCGCTATTTAAAAAGCAGAGGAAATGTACAGAAAGCAGATTTTCTCACAGAACAAATTAACTTGTGCATACGTGCTTTAAATAGTACTCCTTAATGGGTGACTTCTTATTTCCATGCTTAAAGAAAATTAAAGCTGTGTAGGAAAATGCCTTTTGCATTATCTGACCAGTGTAATTCCCCCTTGTAAAGTAACCACACAAGTCAGTCAGAATTAAATACCCAGGTAGGAAGGAATGCCCATCTGAGGTGTGCTCCAACACAAAAAAAGGCTCTCTTGCGCTGTTTGACTATCACTCATCTGGAAAGATCATGAAAATGATGTAAGCAAAAAAACCCTCTCTTAATGTGTGCAATTACCTAGAAAAGCACAACAAAGCCTAGCTTGCTCTATATTAGTACTCCATAAATCTTTGAATGTTACTCTAACTAACCTATCCAAAGCTAATCTTTTAAGTAACACTTCCTCTGTTCTGTTCCACTATGATCACATTTCTTGATGTCCCCAACTCCAGCTGTTTCAGGTGATCAAAGAAGCCCTTTCATGAGGCCCTTTTCCTTTACAGTGACTTTGAACAATGTCAATGATTGTGATGAAGGGGTGTCTTGTTGGTACAGGTTACACAGGGAGGTGGACTTCTCTGGGTGTCTTAAGACGCCTAAATCTGACAGCAGCTTGGAGAAGGGACGCTTTATTCCCCAAAGGATGCAGAAATTATTGAAAGAGGGATTAAGCACGGGAGCACTCTGTAGTAGTGTGTTGTTTTTAAACCTATCTCTTTGCTGCTTCAAACCATGCTGACAGTTGTCAGAGATGATGTTCAAATGTAACCATGTAAATTTATCTAAATAAACAGAAATATTAATGCTGCATCTGTCTCAAATGAGTGGCAGTCTGCTCATACAGGGTGGATATATCTGCAATGGTAACAGATGAAAAACATACAGGTAATCTGTGCTGATCAGACATGGCCTTTTAAAGAACCCACTCAGGGGTTCATGAAAGAGGGTGAGCCTACTCTTGGGGTGAGAGAGTTTGACCTTCTGCAAAGAGAAGCTGCCCACGGGAAAGGATGACACACTGTACTCCAGTCCATCTATAGCCCTCTAAACTGCAGTATCCAGCCTGAGACCTCTTCTCCTGCACTCCTAGAGGTCCCCAAGAATGCTGACAAATGAACTCTGGAAAGCTGAGTTACATCGCTGGTGAGGTCTTCCAAGACCTGTTCAAGGCACAGATTTGAGGCGTTACTGGGATGTCCACTGGTTGGGCAAGGACTTTTCACCACCCGGAGAGCCAGGCCTCTCTGCACTATTTCTACAGAGGGATACAAAGCTGTGTCATAAGCTGTGCTGCTCCAGCTGCCACTCTGGCTGATGAGTCCAGTCTGCCTCTATAGAAAAACCTCAATTCGTACGCAGAACCTGATTAGTGCTGTGCAAACGTACAGGCATGGGACTCTGACACTAGAGCATAAAGACAGCCACAGGAGCCTGATGTCCCTGCTCTGACAGTATTTGTGGCCAGTGCCTTAAACACACATCTTGAGCCCTAGGGCTTTTGCCTACATGTCCACGTGGAGCTGGAATAGAAGACCTTGTGCCATTTGCTGTTTGTGCCATGCCTGTGATCTGGATGTGGGATGATGTACCCAATCTTTATGAGGAAGGTCCAGTTTTAACTCAGATAATCAGGCTCAGCTCAGTTTCTTCTCCTGTGCGCAGCCTTGCCACCACTTCTGGGGGAACATGGGAGTGAGAAGAACCTTTTTCCCCCTCAAAGCCCAGTTCTTCTCAGTCCAACTCATTCAGTTTGCAGCTGCTTTTCAACCCCAGGCTGGCACTCACCACACCCTGCAAAAGCCACAGTGCCCAAGGGTGTTCCTCAGGATGATATGTGCCTCCTGGGCACAGTGCTGTGAATTTCACTTTGGGTTTGCCTGTCATCTGGGCAACAGACAGGGAAATCAAGACCTTCCCAGTGCTCTGTCTTGGGTCAAGCGGAAACATGGTGCTGTCATGGTCCCTGGAGAACAAAATTTTGTTATACTCTTTATCTTCCTTGGCCAGGGAGGAGGCAAGAGCACTATAGCACTTGGGAGGTTGACCAAGCCGGGATAAACTAGGGAGCACATAAAACATTACTCCATCTCAAAGGGAGGACAGAGGTGTGGTCTTATCTCTGGACCTGCAAGATGATTTTCACAGGAGGTCTGGCACACTGTAACTTGGAGTGTGAAGATATGGGTACTCATATCCAGAAGCAGGTTTGTTGATGTCAAGTGTTAGGGAAGACGTGCCCTGTTGGGAGCAGAGCTGAATCCCCCTAGAGTTTGCCCTACCAGCTGTGAGAAAGATGTGACCCTGGTCTTTTTGAGAGTCTATTTCTCTGGAGGTAAAGTCATGACAGAAGCAAGTTCCAACAGGGGTACTTAGCCTGGAGGCAGCGCTTATCTCTTGTATGGCTAAGGTAGAAAAAGTTCACATCCTGAGGGCAAGAAAAGCTCATAAGTAGGCAATGAACTCTGACCCTGGCTGAGGTCTCTCTATCACTTCCACAATTGTGTCAGTGCAGAGGTGACAACACTTCAGTTGGGCTAGGGTTTGGGGGAAGAGCACAGTTTTTCACTGGAGATATGGACCATGCAGACAGGGTTCCAGTGAGGTAAGAGAGAGTGGGGTGAAAGGACAATCTCAGGTACATTGTGCAGAGCAGTCTGGACTGGGAGATGTAAATGGAGCTCAGGCTAATTGCCTCTCCACAAAGAAGCCCATCTCCAGGGTTGAACAGCTTGCAGACACCTTCAATCAGAGCAGGAGGACCGCTCTTTGAAGCTACCCAGGGGAGGAGGGTTATCCTGTGCTCTTGCGCACATCCTACACAGGCGGTTTCCCTTGATGTGTCTGGCATGGCCAACATAAATGTCCCTACACCTAACACAGTAGCAACCAGCGTGCCTCACTGCTGTCTGGCAGCTCTGATCTCACCACCCACATAGACACGGCATCTCCAGTCCCACCAATTCCCCAGGCTAATTCTCTGGGAGAAGCATTCACACCCTCAGGCAGTTTCCACTTAACATCTGGCAATTACAATCCACTCACCTATCTCCCAATGAAGACTGACTTGGTGGGCATTTCAGGCCTGAAAGAAGAGGCCATCAAGGAGAAGGAGATGTGTGGCATAGAGTCATTGAACAGCCAAGGCAGCGGGGACTCAAACAGGGAGGATGACAGAGCCACTCTCATCCTGACCCTCACTCTCTGCAATGTGAGGAAGATTGAGCTCTCTAAGGCAGCCAAAGTCTTTGAGGTACAGACATCATCATTCCCTTCCTTCACTGAGCCCTCTCTTCTGCTTCTATTGCTTTCACGTCTCCCACTCTGCATCTCTCCCTCTCTCACCCTTCTGCTTCCTGCCTGACTTATGCCTTGTCCTGCCTTCCCCCTTTTCTCATTGTCCTGGTTTTGCTACAGCTGCTGAGAGAAGTTTTCTGGTCTCATGGGTGAAGAGGGAGAGTGCTCTGGAGGGAGGGAGTATCTGGGCACAGTCCTTTAGAAGAATCAACATTTTATGTAAGGGTGGTTTAGAGGACATACCAATCTATTATTTCTTTCTAGCAGTTGTGGTGGCCAGCAGAGGGGTGCGCTATGGGGATGTTAGAAGCCAGTGAATTTTCTCTGCATATTTGGCAGGAGATACAAAGAATACAAAAGCTGTAAACCACATAGGCATTATGTAGTCTGGGCAGCTGAAGTACCCCTACCAGGTGCTCACTCTCATTTGGGAAACTGAATAACTCAAAAGAAAAGTATTGTATTTGTTACTTATTTTTAATAGTTCACCATTATTTAATGATTATGGTGTTATTATACATCAATAGATCTGCTTTCATGCTGTGAGGGTTTTAAGAGTTACCCAGCCACTCCTTTGTTATTTCAGCACAGATAAAATTCTACAGCCAACAGTATCTCATCTTTCATCTCCATCTGTCTCTACCCAACTCCACAGTGTCTAATTTTTAGCCCTGCCTGTATTTTAGCTCTTTCTAAACCAGATATTATTGGACTTCTTTGCTTAACGTGCGCTTCTTGTTAATACCTCTCTTAGTCACCTTTTAAAGACATCATAGAAACGTATGTAGACTTACCTGGATTTGGAGAAGCTTCATCATATGAACATTTGTCTCTTGCAGATGTTTGAAACTCAGATCTATCATTTTGAAACCCGGCGAGCCAAAAAGCCCAAGAAGTCTGCTGATGATCTTGACATTTTCATTGAATGTGAAGTTCACAGTGCTGATGTTAGTATCCTTATCACCTCCTTAAAGAGAGTAGCAGAGGATGTGAAAACTAGCAGAGAAGACAAAGGTAAGAAATATATGCATCTGTTAGTGTCATTCTTTTGGATGAAGTTGTTTAGATTTAGCTTCCTCTTCATAATAGTAATTTAATTTGTCTGGTAAGCAGGTGAGTGCGCATTCATTTTTTGTCACTGCATGACTATTTTCCATTCCCATTGGTGAAGAATTAGAGGTACTTCATCCTAGCCAGTACTTCATCTCACCTCACAACTGAGGTGAGAAAAGTGTTCCAGTGAAAAGGGAGATGAGAAGGAGAGAGCAGCCAATCAAAAAGCTGAAGAGAAACGAGAAACTCCTCAATGATAGGAAGACTGTGTACTGAGAACCGAGAGATATCGTGCAGAGAGATTGCAGAGATCGTGTGAGAGAGATTGTGTGCAGAGAACTGATTGTTTCAAGACAGACACATACACTTGATGGGGTTGCAATGACATAGCAAAGGGTCTGAATGTTTCATTTGCTTGTAGTGTATTGCATTGGTTTTGATAAAATAGTTTATGCTTCTTTATGGTGTCCTGGCTACTGCTGTCTGTGTCCAGTAGGACTGTCTGGAGGCACATTGTTTCTTCACTGGAAAGACCTAAATGCAACAAACTGTGAGAGGCTTGTAGAATGCAAAAGGGAAAGGGCCAACAGAAAGTCTGGCCAGGTACCAGAAGGTACCGGTCAGGTTGGGAGAATCAAGGAATGAGTTTCTTGAAGAGAACAGCCCTGCTGCCATATCTGTAGTAACAGAGCATCAGGCATTTTCCCAGGCACATGAAAAGCTTGGAGGTTTGGAGGTTGTGCAGCTTCACAGGTTACACTTCAGGAACAGTATTTCATCTGGCAGAGTGCTGGAGTAACAAGTGGTTACTCCGCTGCCTGTGGTCTATTGAGCCACTATCCCTACCAGTCATCAGGGTGTTAAGTGAGTTTGCCAGAGGCAGACGGGCATTTTTCCTGTTTACAGGCAGGCAGAGGATGGGTAAGTACAACAAGCTGATAATAGACCTTTAATACAATTCTGAGGATGACAGAGGTGTCCCTGGCAGATGAGAAGGCTGAGGGTTCAGCTCACAAGTGGAGTTTTCTGAATACAGAATTAGTATGGGTTTTCCCGTCCTTGACAAGGCCAGACAGATATTCCCGGAGTGCTTTTGACTAATACAGTCTTGTTTGGGCATCTTTGGGTGTTTGAAATTCAACTTCAGGCTAGTGGTAAGATGTAGCCCATGGCAAGCTGTACTCATGGGACTGGAGGCTATCAAAAGGACATCATTATAATCAGGGAAACTAGAGAGCCAAAGAGGGTTGCAGAGACGGAGAAGCATTTCTTTAGGATTTCCTTGTTACTTGAAACATTTAAGGTATGCCAGGACTAGGAACTACAGTCAAAAGAAGGAAATGTTACAAAAGGGTGTGTTCATGTTTAGTTCCATAGGGAATAGGCAAGATGTGTATGGGATGTGAGATGGAGGAGATATGATCAGGTGCCAGTTTTGAGGAGATATGACTATAGATGACAGGATTATAATCTTACATGCAGAGCCATTGATACAGCCAGAGACAAAAGCTCAGAAAAAAACCTCTGGGTAGACATAAGACATCTGTCAGACTAATATTTCTGACTTCTTATCACAAAATCGGCCATAATGCATGGAAGAGCTGTAATTTCCCAAACGTCAGTGTGTATTTGTAGCCTTGTACCTTTCCGAATTGGTTGTGCCTGGGTATAATATAATATGGCAAAAGTTAAATTCACTATTAAGTATAGAGATGTCTGGTCTTTTGTGAAGTATGAGGTTAAGATAACCCCAAATAGACCTTTCTCAGCTGTAACAGAAGAAGTTTGATTACAGTCTCAGTCTGACCTCAGAAAGTGATATTAACCTTGTCTTTTTTCAATACTTCGTTGGTTGTAAATGCTGGCACTTATGTTAAAATGATCAAACTTTATTTTTATTTTAGTCACTGGAAAAGGTCCCTACTTCCTGGGAAAGAAGCTCTTTGGAAATTCAGCTAAAGCTAGAATAATGTTGCTAAAAAAAAAAAAAAACAGCCAAAAGGAAAAAAACTTGAAGTCAGGATACTTTTTGGTCTGTTTTATTTCTAGGAATTTTAGAAATTTCATGTTTTCCCTTTAAAATATTGTTTCATTTTCAAAGGTATGAAAATTTAAGACTACTTTTTAGACAAGATCAAAATATAGAAATAAATTTGTTGTTCTCTGTCAAACAAAACATCACATTTGCTCTAAAAAAACCATTTTTGTCTTTAAAAATTGCATTTACTAAGTAAAACTGAGAGAATATCTGCTACTTAATTTTAGATAATTTTTCATCCAGTCTGCTGCTTTGGTCTGCAAACAAAGTCAACTAGTGACATGTATGACGACTATGGTGACATGTAAATATGAATATTCTTAGATATATTCTTAGATATCGCTGAAAAGAAAATTTGTAATCTTCAGCACAACTTTTATTTTCTGTGTCTTTTAAAAATTATTTGATCCTATCTCATTTAACTCTCCCTGCTTTTTCTCCAGTACTCTGGTTCCCCAGAAAAATCCAAGATCTGGACAAGTGTCACTATCTGATCACCAAGTATGATCCCAGTTTGGACCATGGTCATCCTGTAAGTTTAACATTACTGTCATTTCACTTTTAAAAGAGAAGTTCTCTGTAGGGAGATTTTTGTAAGGAAAATTTCAGGAGTAAAGAAATAACCATGAAAGAACAGAAAAAATAAAGGGCCAGATGAAGGCTGATCTTCAGCGAATTTAGAGACTGTATGAGACCCTACACGAATGGACCATAAAAAAGGTTTTACTGACAAGCTTTATGTGTGTATTCTTTGCCTCATCATAAGCACAGACTCTAAGAGAAGGAAGAGGAAAAATGCACTGTAGAGTCCTGCTCTAGTGATAATAATAGTAAGGCAAAATACTGGGAACAAACTAACAAACAAACAAACATTTGTTTCTCATCAAAGTTTTCAAGCTTTAGTACAGATGAGATATGAGTTAGATGTAGACACAAAACAGGCTCCAAAAGGCCATTTGCAGATTGACAAGGTAGGTCCAGAAGTGTTGTGTTCTGTCAAGCATCACATAGAAGTGATGCATGACAAAGAAAAAAAGCACACATTTTGCACTGAAAAAAGGGGAAAAATTTAGATGGGTGTCAACAGAATCTACAAGACAGATTTTGTCATTCCCTTCTCTATATGTCTGAATTCTATTTAGGTCCTATTGTTAACATACACAGTGTTATGTTGTGAATTATGTACAGTAATGTGTATCACGAAAAAAAAACCTTTTCAAGTCTACAAGTGTCTCTTCTATTTTTGAGAATCACTTATTACACTATAATTCTCTAGGAGAGATTCATAACCTCCTTAACCAGGACATCTTTCATTCTTCCTCATATCTTTCTGAAACAGTCTAAGTATTTGTAATTTTCCTGAGCTAGCTCTGAGGCTGTTTCTCATTAGATAAATGAACACATATTGAGAATTCTTTGAACTGGACTAAGTTGCCCTCTTACTTTGCCAAAGAGAAGGTATGAGCACTGAAGAAGATGAGAGAAAGCAGCAGTGGTGCAGAGTTAACAAAATATTGACTGGGGATAAATCTGAACTGCAGAATGCAGTGCAATTTAGAAATCCTTAAGTTGAAACAAGTTACCTCAGGCACTGAACACCACTTGTCTGTGGAAGGAGAGAACACAATGTGGGCTGATTTACTGTGCTTCTGAGCAAGGCTCAAAAATGGACAGGTTGGAGGAAAGTATCAAATAAGCTGAGGTAAAGCTAGCTCAGCAAAGATTTTGCATATACATTTACTATCAAATACACATTTTGGGCTGTCTATATCCAACGGGTTCATCATTTCTTTTCTTACTTTCTCTTTAATGGTCAAAAAATCAAACTGATGTCACTGTGACACCAATTCCTGGGGCACCCTGATAGTGGCTGCAGTGGTCTCCCAAAGAGGCTCCTGCTGCTCAGAGCATGGGTACAGAGCCCTTGGAACAGCAGGGGCAAAGCTGATATGTCACAGCATTTACGTGAGTCTGTCCCAGTGGCTTTTCATGTGTTTTGAACGGACTTGTTACGGTGGCATCTGAATGAACACATTATCCCTAACACATGACAAAATAAACGTACTCTCAGGATCCAGCTCTTTCCTCAGATTCACGCACACAATACTCATTAACTGCAGTGTTACTGGTATTATTGGTGCACTGAAAATTATGTGAATAAACCTAAGGGACATATTTGGCTTGTAGTATGAAAAGTGATTCCAGTAAATTCTGAATATTTTAGGATAATAAATATTTGCACAGTGATGCTGAACAACACTGTTTTATGAGTTATACTAGTATACAGTTCCAGATTTCAGATTTAATTCCTATTATGAATGATGTAAAATTAAAAGGAACATGATTCCACAGCTCTATTCATATTCAATAACTGGCAAAGATTGCTTGAAATTTAACTTCTAGTAAACACGGAAGGGGCAGAAAGAAAACTCTGGTATTTGATGGGTAAACTTCCCCTTTAAACAGATACCACTGAATCCCTCTTTATCATAACATAGTAATAAATGGGCAAGGGGAAATTGAGTGCTCAGCCTGTACTTCCTACAGACCCAGTGGTGGTTTTAATGATTTCTGGCCAGTGAGGACCTGTTCTTTGCCCAAAGCACAGGGTATCGTGCAGGGGCAGTGTACCTTCTCTGGCAAGTTGGATAGGCTTGGTGCCATCGTGTCCATCACAGCCAGATATTGCAACCTTCGTGCTTAGCGAAGGAAAGAAGTGATTCAGATTCAGCTCTTCCCCAGTGTAAGCAATAGCCCTCTTTCTATCCCATTTTAATGTGATTTGCATCTAAATTTGATGGTAAGTGTGTGATGGTAAGTGTGTGATTCTGCAACGAAGTGTTTATATACTCCAAAATCTTCCCACCCACCCATGTTACTTTCCTTTCTAGTCACAGCCCGCAAATTTTCAAAATGTCACAGATATAACTGATTGCAGACTTTGGCTTACCCTGTTCATAAGGCTCAAGACTCATTGCCTCAGAAAACAACCTATTTGAGGCCTAGTTTTTCTGAGTGCCTCTGTTAGCAGATTTATTTATGACCACAAATCTCTCTTAATGTAAAACTTTTTTCAAATTATTTTCTAACTCAGGGGTATGCTGACCTGGAATATAAGAAACGGAGGGCATTCTTTGCTGATCTTGCCTTAAACTACAGAGTGTAAGTACAAGGCTGCTGAAGGGAGAGTTCAGTGTATGCTTTCAGACTTCATGTGGAAGAAATATCAGAGATATAATCTTTTGTCAGTGTATCAATGGGGCCACTTTTTAGAGAACAGAATTCAGCCACGAAAGTTTTCACTCCATGTGAAATAGACTTTTGTCACAACACAGCAAATGTATCTTAAATAAAAATCTTAAGATTGCATTCATATCTCCTTCAGTGCTGCATTTTGTCTTAGCAGAGGTGATTTCAATATGACTCTTTAATTTCAATTTTGCAGGTCCTTTCAGGACTAGGTTCTGAGCTGAGGCTAATCTTTTTCAAGGAAATACAAGGAAAATTTTTAGGAACATATTTTTGACAATGAAAAGCAATTTACTACTTTTGTTATTTGCTTTACTAAATGCCTCTGTCTATGCACATTAGCTACTGAAAACCCTAGAAACCTCTCAGTTCTCAAGTAGGTGATTGAAAATGTTTCCGCCTTTATGTCCAAACAAATCTTCACCAGAATTACACTGCTGTCTGACAGAGTAAATCAAATGTACATGTAGAACTGGTTGTGGATTATCAGTCTCATGGTGTCCAAGAACTGCTGAAATCTCCCAAGTCTTGTGTACATTTGAGTACAGTTTTCTCTCCTCTATCAAATATCACACCCAACACATCTCAGAACAGCACAAAAACAGACACTGAACAGACTCAGAGCTACTGAAGAAGCAACAGTGAGGAAGAGGAGGGAAGACCACCTCTCAGAGAAGTCAGTGATAACCACACAGTGTATGCCTGGGCAGCTCTCCGCTAATGAGTTTATGAATGCTTCTCTGTGATGGTACTGGCTGATGACATCCTCCAGGGATGGACCCTCCAGGCACACACTGCATTTTGGCATGTAGATTACCTTCAGCAGAGGTAAGAGAAAGCCTCTTATTCCTTCTGTAAAGCAGAACACAGCTCCCTTCCTTACCATATCCTCCTGTTTCTTCCCCACATTGTAACAGAGGAGAGAATGCACACATTAGAGCCTACCAAGACAAATAAGTTGTTACTTATTTACTATTTTGCTGTTTCTATCTTCATTACAACAAATATCCACATATCAATTATACCTGGAAACTGACCTTTGTTAGACACGTCTTATTTCTTCTCTTCATTACAGGGGAGACCCTTTGCCTCTCATCGAGTACACGGCGCAGGAGACGGCAACTTGGTGAGTTTGGTGCTTAGGGTCCAACTCCTGGACCATTCCACTGCAGTCCCAGGAAAGACATGCAATGTGAGACAGTTATAACGTCTTAAGACTGTATTTATCCATCTCAAATTTTACTCCTTTGTCAAAAATCATCTTCTGGTCATTTGTTTTGCAGAAAGCCCTTCTCGGGGTTGGTCTTAATTATTTACTTTCTAGAGCAAAATGCATTTTCCTTGCCTTCTCCCAGCCTGCTGATCCCATCAAGATATCAGAACCCAGAAAACACCTGGAGTCTATAGCATAACTTCTAACTGACCTGGAATCTACCATAGCTGTGATGCTTACAGAAATATCACCTTTCTAAGCCTGTTACCAGGAAAAAATGCCCACTAGCTGTATGAAATGATGGCAAGTTTTTTACAAGGGTGCAGCATTTCTTTACTGGGGCTTTGTTTCTCCTGAAGATTCACCACTCAAAAAAAAAAAAAGACCCCAAATATCTGCCAAAGAACTAAACAAAATTAAGCCAATTCAAAGTATATTTGTAAATATTATGTGAAGTATGTGGCAGATTTGAAAGAAAACAGAGTCCTTATTTCACATCCCTCTGTTTCCTCTTTCTCCCACTAACTAACAAATCTCAGTAAGCAGTAATAGTTACACATTTGTATGATACTACAAAGCATAAATATGTCCAAAATCTCAATTAAAAGCAGAGTCCTGGGATTGTGCAAGGTGCCACATGTGCACATAATAAGAGAGAGTCTTTGTTCAGAAAAGTTTACAATTTAAATGGAAAGACAGCCTAAAGATGGGGAAAGAAAGAATGAAGACCCCATTTTATAAATGTGCAACTGAAAACACTAGACCTTAAGTGATTTGCCCAAAATTATGTACAAAGTTTATTTCAATGCCAGAAATTAAATCCATAGACTAGATGTCTCTTGCCAGAACCTCAACTACGCTTTCATTCCATCTTTTTCAATGCTTACTTTATTTTAAATAAAATCTACTGTGCCATAGAAATCCACAACCGCATATAAACCTTGCATCCAATTCATCCAGGAGGTCACATTTTTATTACGCTCAAATAGCTTTTTATAGCATCCTTCAATAGTCAAAGATTGATGGTCGGTGTCATGTTCATGATTGCTACCACCAGCCAACAACCTTGGCATGAAGTGGTGTGTGTGAATGTCATTTTTAAGAAAATTTAATTTTGTGTTCTTTCCTGTTTTGGTCTTTTTTTGCCAACCTTCGTCATTCTAGCTCTTCTCCACCTAGAATTAGACCCATTGTGGTAACTAAATAGACCTTCAAAGGAGTATCTGCCCATTTCCCCATACAGCCAGCCTCAGCAACCCAGGTTGTCTTGTTATGTAAAACTGTTTCCAAAATTAGAGTTCCCAGTTGTTCTCATGGCCCCCTGAGGCTGTGCCCTGAGGTCAGGCTGCATTACAGCACAACTTAATTGAGCACTATGCAATTGAACAGGAAATTTATACCACAGACTAAATTCCCTTGGTGTCACTCTTCAGAGTTGTTGGATGCCTTCAGTTTGTAGCAACATGGTTATAAAAATGAAAACTAATCCAGTGAAGAAATACGACTTTCAGAAAACAGAGGGTACAGATGATCTGAGTTTTTGTTTTCAAAGCAACTTCTTGGAAGGTCCTGAAACTAAGTAGTCACAGAAGACATCTTATGGGTAACAGCTGTATAAGAAAAATGGAGAATTCAGGATAAAACTATGGGGATGCACCTGTCACATCTTCATAATAAAGCTGAACAGTGCCACTTTTTTCCTAAAAGAGCAATGAAATTTATGTTAAATAGGTTATTGCCATCAAAGTCGTTCCAGTGGCTGGCTTCATGCTTCATTATAAGGCTCCTTTCTAGAGTACTTCATAGACTGTGCTTTCAGCAGTTCTTCTTTCCATCTCTGAACTGAAGTACCATCAAGTAGCAGCTTAATGGTCCTTTGAGTGAGAGCACCTCCTTACAGTAGGCATTACAACTATTTGAGACACTACATTAGGGCAAGCTAAGTAATCATCTGGAAATATCTGCTACTCTCTTGACTTTGGAACATACTTAGAGGATTGCCTTAGAGGTACTTAGACAGGAGGAACACTTAGCTTTGGATAATTCATCACTAATCTCTGAGACTGCCTACATTTCTGTGGAAGTCAATGTTTGGACACACAGTAGAATGACACTTTGATAAAGGGGACCATATGTGCAGAAGCGTAAACAAGTCTGCTCTCTCTAGACTCTAATCTGGGTATGAACTGTGTACTGGTTCAAATCCCATGCAATCCCACTGAAGCCGGTAGTATTCTGTGAGGAAATAAGCCAGGGCAACACTTGAACTTTAGTCTTCATTTTTTCCTAATTCTTCCATGGAAATGACCCGGTCTCCTGTGGTTTTTGCAATAGTGACAGCAGCCACTGTTCCCCTCTGTTCTTTTAAATTAAGGGGGTTTTCCTCCCCCCCTTACTTCTGGTTCATTACTCCCACACCATGTAAGACATTCATACAAATTAAGAGAACCATTACCAGGGACTGGCTATCACCTCCATAGCAACAATAGCATCACAAAAAAACCCCCAACAATACAAAAACAACAAAAGGTCATTTCCCGTAGCCAGCATTTCCAAGAATGATCTCAGTTTTCATAAAACAATGTTTATAAAGTTGCTAACACCCTAGGGCCATGTGTGAACAAAAATAACTATTTCTATAAGGTTCTTTGCCATCCTATTACTACTTGTTTATTTTGCAAGATCTAAATATATTCCAAACCACAGCTCTAAATCCAAGCACCATCAAGTTTGGGAGAAACTTAAAGCCTGTGCCCAAATCTAGTTACATATATTTTTCTTCGTCTGGTCTTTTTTTGTATAATGGGCTAAATGCTTCAAGAAACTTGCATATCTTTGAAATACATAGCCTGTGCCAGGCATTTTGAACTGCAAAAGTATGAATCTCTTTGCCTGTCCAGATACTACTCTTCAGTATCAGAAGATGTGCTTTTTAAGGAGGAGGTTTGCAAGCGACAAATATAGGCTAGGCCTACGCATGGAGAAAGAGGGACCAGCATTTCAAGTTGTACCCCAAGGCAGAGAGGGAGGGAATATGTGATTCATTCCATTCCTAAACTGAACAACAACAAAGTATCACAGGCTCAGCTCTCTCCCTGGGATTTCCCTGGTACCTCTAACACCCTGAGCAAGAAGCAAGAAACACTTCTGTCTTGGAATTAGAGTTCTGTTACATTAGAGGGTGCAGGAAGACATAAAAAGGATTTTCTGAACAGAATCCACCTTCTGAAGGAAAAGTGAAACAACTCCTTCTGGTTTGCTACATCCGTCCACTCATCAGCTTCCAAGCACCAGGTGTCCCAAGTGCAGAGGTTTTGCACCTCTCTAGATCTGTAGACAGGACAGATAACACTGCTTTATTAAGGTGGGTCATGCTATGCAGTTTTTGCTTTTCAGGAGAGAAGTCTACAGGAAGCTGAGAAGCCTTTACCCTACTCACTCCTGTACACAGTACCTGGATGCTTTCCAGCAGCTGGAGAGGTACTGTGGCTACCAGGAAGATAACATACCTCAACTCCAGGATGTCTCCAGATTTTTAAAAGGTTAGTCATTATAAACCATAGTTTATTCTAGGATTTCCTGCATATATCTGTGCACCACATACAGACTCAAACCATCTCCTAGGACACAAGCTGGTGTGCAGAGCTGATTAGTTATAACATTCCCTCATGCAAGATGAGCTGTAGCACAGGACATTCGTATCAGGTGTATCTGGGGACCAGGTGGTAAATAAGTTTGTGCGTGGCTGCAGTTGGTGTGGCACTAATCAGTTGATCCCAGTGCTAGCAGCGGTACAGTCACAGCTGCACACTGCTCAGCATGACTTCCACACACAGGGTTTTTTTATGCATTTGGCTGTGTTTTATGCTTCTAAAAGCCATGCTGCTAGTAAGAGCCAAACACAAGTACAGGTACATACCTCTCGAGTATATTTTTTTCCGATGTATGAGACGGGATGGCAATGTATGCTAGAGAAAATTATTTCCAGGTGGTCCTGCTGGCCAATCATCAGCTGCCTTGAAACAGCTCTGCTTCTTTCTGTCTCCACAGCACCATTTGCCACTGACCTCTGTGGTACCTACCAGGTGGCTGACAGAAGAGCACAAACGCTGTGGTGGTGGTCTGTAAAGGCATAAAGAAGTGACTTTAGATCAAAGGACACACAAGATTGCTAGGCTGACCTATCTGCTGTTAGCTGGGGTCTGACTAGCAAAGAGCAGAAGAGGAAGGGAGCCTGCATTACTTTTGTGAGGCTATAGGCTGCATAGATTCCCAAGGCTGGATGCTTTGTGTGAATCACTTGATTATCAAGAATGACTAAAGAAAGGTCACCTTTAAAACCTCCTTATTCCTTCTTAGTGAAAAGAAGATGTGCTAGAGATAAGACAGCTAATCACTATGATGAAATAAATAATAAAAAATATAGCTTAACTTTAAATAAATTATGTTTAAACATACTATTCAGGAGATCAAGTGACCTGCTACATATAACAGTAAGGGATGCTAGTAAGCTTGAATAAGCTTTCTGTTGCTGAAGAGTTTTCTAAAATGTTGCCATTTTTAGAGAAGATTAAGCTGCTCAATGACAAGGTTTTAATTGTACCTCTAGTGGAAGGGAGGGGAGGGTTGCCATATGAAAAGCATCTCCCATGAACACCATCGCACCCAGCTGTAGGAATTTTTCTGTGTATACATTATGTATTTTCTAATATGTCTTCCCTTCTATTCAGATATCCATCTTACTCCTCTCCTATAGTAACTGGGCTGATTAATATTTTTTCTCATGAAGTAGTTGATCTCATCTCTTTTCATTTACACAATAGGTGACAGCAGGGAGCTCCAGAAATCATGTGATCCTAACTTGATTACCACAAATATTCATATTCTTTAAGTGAAATAGATGATTTCAAAATGGGAGAATTTAGGGTAATGTAAGACTACCCTGTCATAATACTATTTGTATTGTTCGTGTTGGCTGACAGGATTTGATTGCCTGGAGTCTGCTCACTTCTTTCATAGGTTCTGGTTCTAAATTTTCTCTGAGTCAAACAAGTTGGCATCTGGAAAAAAAAAAAAAGCAGCAATTCTCAAAAATCTGCCAATAATGGTTGGGAAGATGTTCACAGGTGACTAGTGTAAGCTAATCATCTGAACTATTCTGATTGGGAACAAGAATTAGGCATTTCAGAGACATTTTATTCCATGCTGGAACGGATGTCTAAGGAAAAAGGAAAGGATGGCTCTTGGGGCCACTGGTCCTACCCTCCTTAAACTGTAGATAAAACTTGGATTAGTTTAGCCTACAAGTTATGCATGAATAGAACAAAATTTTTTCAAAAGAGTTGTGTTAACAGCTAGACACAATTAAGAGTGAGGAAACTATTTTAGTCCCATTATGGGGGCTTTGAACTGATATCTTACCTAGCTTTCTTCTAATAAGGTCATATCACTATGTAGAATAGTTTCTAGATTAGTATGAATACTGACATTACCACTGGGTGAGGCATATGATTTATAAGGAGTTATAAGTAGTGATTTATTACTAATTGGTTGGCTTTTACTACCAGTGTTAGCAAGACCAGAATTTTTGCTCCTTCACAAGTCATAAATCAACTGTGTGCTTAGGCTCTTTCCTGTGTTACTGTTGTGCAGTGCTCAACCAACCATAGCTTAACCAAACTATAGGCTGTGATGTGTCTCCTTGGCATACAGTGCACGTATTTCAATTATAACCTATGTGGAGATGCGTAGTGCAGTTCCTCCTGTCACTGGTGAGCTCTGAACTGTCCCATTCTCCCATTTAGGACATAAATCCCAGCATGAATCTTTAGCATATGTGATGATAAGATGTAAATAGAATAGAATAGAATAGAATAGAATAGAATAGAATAGAATAGAATAGAATAGAATAGAATAGAATATTTCAGTGGGAAGGGATCTACAGTGATCATTTGGCCCAACTGCCAAGCCAATTCAGGGCTGACCAAAAGTTAAAGCACGTCATTAAGGTCGTTGACCTTAATAAAACACTGACAGGCTTGGGCCATTAACCGCTTTTCTAGGGGGCCTATTCCAGTGTTTGACCACTCTGCAAGTGAAGAAACATTTCCATTCTGAACCTCCTCTGGAACAGCTTTGAAAATAATAAACTACAGGAATAGAGAGAAAGAGAGAGAGAGTGGGAGAGAGTGAGGGATATAGCAGAGAGAAAGTGATCATGTTACAACCAGCCCACAAAGCCAGATAAACTTTCATCTTCTCTTTTACTCAGCAATATCTGTGAACCTAAGAAAGCAATTGCTTTTGTCTTCAATACAAGATCTCTCTAGTGTTACCTGGCTGTTAGTGACATTGGTTTGAACAGAAATGAACTATACATCATAAATATTTCATAATTAGTTAAAGGGGATTTAAATGGTTAACCATGGCAAGTGGTTTGCCATTTAACACGCAAGTGTTTTTCTAAAGGGTTAAGTAGATGAACCTAGGCACATCTTTCTTTCTAGGAAAGATGTTTGGATTTAGGCAGTCATTGTCCTCCACAGCTGGAAGACATTACAGTCAGTGAATTCAAGCAAGCTCATACTACAATGCACAGGCTGCGTGTATACACTAGTTTTTAGGCCAAGAATTAAGCCTTGCAGATCACTTTAGGTCAACCACTCAAGACCTTCTTTTCAAGTCATTTTGATTTCACAGATCTTTTGGCAGCAGGTTCCACCAGCCACACCCCTAATTTTCTACTAATTGCTTATTTTATTGTGCAGTAATGAAATAGAAGTTCAAATTTTGCAGATATTACCTTCAGCAAATAACTTTTTCCTATGGTTTTCAAGGCAACTGGCCAAGTCTGTTCCATCAGCAGACTGTCTGATACACTGGCCTATGTTTAAAAGGGCATCTCAAGGAACACAGGCTGTAATTTTCATTTTCCCTCCTGCTCTTCCAACATGAATGCTACAATATAAATTTCCCTAGATTCTTTCATAGTCCTTCCAAAACTGAGTTACTTAGACCTTGGTTTTCAGCTAGTCCAGTTCACTCAGACTCAGAATTCAGCTGAAAGATTACCGCATTCTGAGATTTTCACATTCTTCTGGATTGGTTTAGTATGGCATCAGCAGCAAGGGATTACCTACCCTTCTTGTGTCAGTTCCTGGCCAGTGCTTAAGGAGACATAGTTGCCAGTCTATTTCCCCAACCCCCCTGCTTTCTTAATTGAGGAGTGGGGAGAATACAACCACTTCTGATTCAGCTTTGTGGCAGTTCTGTACCCATTACCTTTGAATTCAGTGGAGCAACAGAAGGTAACTGTGGCAAATGCCCACCATCTAGTCCATCACAATGTCAGGTAGAAACACTCTTTGCTGTCCCCTCATTTGTGTATTGCTTTATATGTTTGTCACTTCTAATTCTTTGAAGCATCCTTTTTCCTTTTTTTTTCTTTCTCTCTCTACTTTTTTTTTCTTTTTTAATGAGAAATAGCCTCATAGAGTAAGACAAGAAATTCTGAAAGAAACATTAAAAAACAAATCAAAACAAATCTTGTAAATGGCTTGGTTTCTGGGTGGGATTTTTTTGTTTGTTTACATAAAAAAAATTAGGTTCCTGGCTTCATGACACAATAGAATATGGGTAGAGAAGGGAGAATAAAGCCATTTCTGGTTTTTTTTAAATGTAGTTTTATGCTTTAAAGAAGTTGAAATGTCATTTATGGGAGCTGAGAATGCAACACAGATTTTGAATATAAGACTTCAAAAAGATTATCATTGGCTCACTTTGAAAGCAGTGATTTTCAATTTTCTTAGCTTTGCAGACCACCAACATGTTTCCCATGGAAATGTAGATTGTGTGTTCTGTTGACTATCAGACTGGTTATTTTGTTAGTCATCTCTCACAGACCTTTCATAGTAATGCAGGGTGTCCTGGGGTAACACTGGTAGCACAAGCTGAAATTGAAGTGCAGGAGTATGGCATTGTTCTGTCCTGTTCTATGGACATATGCAAAGCAAAATGTGTATGATCGTATCAATGGGAGGCTGTGTAGTTCTAGACAAACATAATGGTAAAACAAACAAGCAATCAAACAAAAATCCAACAAAACAAACAAATAAAAAAACCTGGGAAAAATAAGTGAAAGCACTCTTGGAGAGACTGATATTAAATGGTTAAGGGCTAAATTCCAGGACCCTTATCTCTGACGATGACCCATTGCTCTTTCTCCTGCATGTTCCCATTCTAATGAAGTTCAAGCAGAAAGACAAAATTGATAGCAAGTTTTGACAGTGCCCCACTAGTTATGCGGAGCATGCACTGACAAAGGGAAATTAAATGGAATAATATGCTCCAATTCTACCTCTGGGTTATGTTGAACTGTGCCAACTGAGGAATAGAAAAATTGCCCTAACAAGAGCAGACCCATGATCCACCTACTTCTATCTTCAACAGTGCAAAGTACCAGGAGTTTCAGTGCAGGGAAGAAGAAAGTTTTCAGGAGAGGGTTAAACAGTAACCTAGATTCAGGGAAGAGCCAGGTGCTCTCAGACAAGGGTAGGGGTGGGTTGTGTCACTCCTGTTTTTCTTTTACATGTGCTAGACGGGAAGTGAGAGAGATAATCCAAGAATTAATAGACAAGCCAGAACTGAAATTGCAGGTTCTGTTCCCTGCTTGATCATAAGGATCACGTGTGACCTCAGACACACCACTGCCGTGTGGGACATAGTACATAAATGTGTGTAAATGTGCTAAAAATGTGAACTGGGACAGGCAGTACCCCCATACCTCGTATCATGGCTGTGTGTATGCATGTAGGATGGATGGCTAAGTGATTTGATGCTGCAGTAACTGGTCCCATAGCAGTACAGGGGCAAACCAACAACGATAAGCTAGGGTTTACCTACTATGCTTGGTGAAGGGACATATTAGGTCCCTATTTCTAGGGCAGTTAACCCTAGAAATGCCTAAGTTTGGTCTCCCTTCCCTTTGCAGAGAGAACAGGTTTCCGGCTGAGACCAGCTGCAGGACTTCTGTCTGCTCGTGACTTCCTTGCCAGCCTGGCATTCCGTGTCTTCCCGTGCACACAGTATATAAGGCATTTCTCTTCTCCTATGCATTCCCCGGAACCGTAAGTTTGATGCCCTGGAGTAATCCCATCCTTCTGAATGTGTTGGGGATCATTCTCTTGGGAATGGCCCTGGAGCTCTATCCAGTAGTCCACAGAATGAAACAATTTAGGAAACTGGTAGCTGGAGAGTTAGAAGGGGAAGTCATGCATGAGAGGGTGTGGTTCTCTCTCTCTCTTGCAAAGTTGTCTGGGGAAGGAAAAGACTGGAGAATATCTGGTTTAATCTTTTCATACTGCCTTCAGTTACCATCTGCTGGGGTTTGATTTCCTGCTGTGAAACTCTCCCAGTAAGTGCTGGCCAGACAACAACAATAACATTTCATGAGAAATTACAAGTTCACACAGACGCTTTTGTTGTATCCTGGGACAAAATAGGGGCCTTTCAAAGATGTTGTGACATAGAAGGTTGGTGTCCATGCCATCCCAAGTGAGACAATAGACAAGGTAGCAGGGGGCAGCTGGCTTCCCATGGCAGAAGGGAATGTTCTGTCACACTTCTTGTAGAGCCAGGACAGGTATGGAGGCATCCACTGCAGAGCAGTTCTTGTACTAGCTCCCTTTGGGGTCTGTTGGCTAAAGTTCTTCATGGGAAGTTAATGAAAGGCAGAAAAAGAAGCCTTTAACAGACATGAAGGTCACTTATTTTTCAGAGACTGTTGCCATGAGTTGCTGGGTCATGTTCCCATGCTAGCTGACAAGGAGTTTGCCCAGTTCTCACAGGTAAGAAGCTTGTTCTGCTGGCTGTTTAAGCAACTGCTCTGGATAGCAGGCCAAATGTGCCTTAAATACATGTAGCTTACCATAAAATGCAATTTTAAGACTGGATTGTGCCTGAATCACAACCTCCAGGGGTGGTGGGCTAGCAGCACTCTGGGAGACATTTACTCCATGGTGTAAAAGGAAGGGCAGGGAGTGCTTGTGGGACTTGTCTGTGTGGGAGGGCTATGTCAGTCTGGAGAAGGATGTCTCTGTGGTGCTGGTGGTGGAGCTTTACTGACAATGTTGCTCTCCTGGCTTCCTGTCCTGCACCACACGAACCTAAACAGCAACAGCCGCTGAGCCCCCAAGCTGGTTCTGTCTCTGGATATACATTTTTATCTCACATGAGACTTTAATTGTGTCCATCACCACGTCATTCATCAGAGCTCTTTTTCCTTTTACAACTCACCAGATTCTCACAGCATTGCTCACACTGGAGAGGAGGCTTCAAAAAGCAAACCAAGCTTATTTGTACAATAAGGGAGTATTTAGTATGAGGTGTCGGTGTCAGTGTCAGACCCAAGTGAACTCAACAACCTTGCATAATTAAAGACTTCAGAACTATGAATGTTGCTCAAAACCATAACAGAGGGAAGAAGGTAACTCATTGTCCAGGCTTATCAATCAGTGGCTAATGTGGAAACTGGCAATAGGATCAGAGGGGTAATGTGATGAAGGTTCCTGTCAGAATATTTTGAAAAGAAAATCAGTTCAACTCATCTAATGTGGTTTCCAGTTGTATCAACTTGAATACATGGCAGTTACCCTTTTGCTCATAGATATTGGTTATTATCAGAATCAGAGGAGTAGTGCTTTAAATATCCTAGACCTCTATAATTTATTCTGGAAGAAACCTCTTCAGTTTAGTTCAATACCAGAACTCAAGACACATTAGAAAGAGAAGTTTATAGCAATTTCACAGCTTTCAGTTTTCTCCTTTTCCCATCAATAACACAGACTATACAACATGGGATCACATTAAGTGAATTTTCACATTTCACTTTATTTTTCCCACAAAGTGTTTTCACAGTTGAAATTCACCCCATGAAAATTCTTTTTAATTCCATTCAACATGAGACGATGAATGGTAAAAGTGGCCTAATTTTGTTTGTTTGCTGCATGATATGGCTTCTGGGACAGCAAAAAAGAGACATCTACAGATTTCTATTGTGAGAATAGCATTTAACAGGAAGCACAGATGAAAGTAAACAGAACCCTCCCTACACAGATCTGACCCACTCATAAGGGCTCTCAGAAAGAGTGAGAGACAGAAAGGTAATGGCAAAGATAAAACCCACCTTGCTGTCCTTCCTTCTCTTGCCTCCGTATAAATCTCTGTCTGGGATAGAGAGTCCAGAATTAAGCCAAGAGACGGTTAATCTTACACAGAGAACACTGAGGATTAAACACTCATCTAATGTGGCTCCCAGTGGTATGTAGCTGGGGGCCAGGGAGAGGTAGGCATCCTGGAAGCCATAGAAGGTCATTTTGGGTGACAAAAACAATGAATAGTTCATGCTATTCATGCTAGAAATTATGTGGTCCTCCCCCTTCCCCTCTTTCTCTCCCTTGGGCTGAATAATCACACTAGTGTAACACTGCCTGCTTGCTTACTTGCTTTAGGATATTGGACTGGCTTCTCTTGGATCATCTGAAGTGGAGATTGAGAAACTGGCCACAGTAAGTACAGATGGCAGTTTAATATTGGAGACAAACTCCAAACGATTCACTGCATATCCTTTACTATGCAGGGAAGGCTCTTCTTGTGTCTCAGGTTAACTACACAATGGGAGCATCCTAACCTCCTCCACAGGTTAGGAAGGTTCTGGAGCAGAGACTGGAGTCCCTCTGGGGGAGCCCAGAAGCATGTAATTCCACCTGAGAATACACTTACACTTCTTGATTTTATAAGAACATATTTCTTAAGCTGAGTTTTTACAATTTCAGCCACAGGATGGTCCCAACTCACTTTCCAGATTTACCCAATAGACTAGATATCAAATGTGATACCTGAATTTTCTCCTACACAAGGTGCAGAGAACCATCAGAATTTGATTCACCTCATATTTATTAACCTCACAAAATAGGGGAGCACTTAAGAGCAATTTGAGAGTAGGTACAGTCATTCTGTTCTGAGTCACTATACATCTGTCAAAACAACTCATGAAGTCCTTTACTGACATTTTAACTTGTTCTGAAAGTCCTCTGGAGGCCGGTGATTTTTTTTGAATAATGACATCCATTTACCAGTCTTGATGACTTTTTCAGAGGAGGAATGGAGCCTTGCTGTCACCCACCTGGGTGAGATTCATTTAGAAAAGGTAGTGGATGGGAGGAAACTATAACTCCTGAAATTCCTCTCCCAGCCCACAGCCCCACTCAGGAAGGAGGTTGTGGCTCACATAAAACCCATCTGCACAAAACCATCCTTAGGTCAGGACTAGGTAAGACTAGCCTTATTTTTAGAGTTTGATGAGCAAAAGATACCAGTGCTGAATTTTTCATAACATCATACAGGTTCTGGGATGATGATGTGAGGACACTATGACAGGGACAGTTCACATTTCCACTGCAATTTCCACTCTCTAGGTCTAGAAAGGCTAGAGTGAGATTAAGGTCCATACCTTCGCTAGGGTGAAAAGAATTATGAGTCCCAGAGAGCTATTTTGCATTGTTACCCAGGTCTTGGTGAGATTGGGTTAAGGCTGGTGGCTTATAAAGCATTTCCCTGCAAGCACCCCACCCTGATCCTGGACTGAATAGGACTAGATTAGAGATAGGATTTAGATTAGAAGAATAATGGGTCTCATATCTGAAATTGTCATAGTATCTTCTAGGGTTTGAGGAGGTAGAATAAGGACATCTTTTTGAAAGGGCTACCTGCAGTTCAGAGTCTGTGAGAATACAACTTTGTGTCATTTAAGTATTCTGAACAGTAAATATATTCTGGACTAACATCTCAATCCTCAAATGTTTAAAATTTATACAACTGATCTAGGCTCACTGTTTGAGTTTCCTTTTCTAAAAAGTGGAGATAGAGAAGAATCTAGTGTATTCATTACCCTGACATAAAAATCTAATGTGAATTCTCTGATTATCTCTGGAAGTCCCTGTCGTTCTCTGTTCATTATAAAGAGAATGTAGGCAACTAGGTTGGATGCTATGACAACATTTAAGATAAAAGTTCCTTTAAAGAATCTCAACTTTACTTGTTGCTATGGTCTATACCTTTTGTAACACAAACTTTGAAATGCCATTATTTCATTCAGCCCCATGACTTCACTGTGCAGGTGGATCCACGCACCAGAGATGAGAAACTGCCAGTGTTCATGTCATCCACAGAGTGCCGCTAGCACCTTTTCTTGTAACCTGTTAAAACAGTGAGAGCTGAAAGAATCTCACTAACTGGAATTCAAATACAGGATATCTAAAGAAACAGTAAAAAAAAAAATTCCTCCTCCTCCCATGTCTCATTTGGCAGTCAAAAAAGCCTCCTGCAAAATGAGCAGGCACTCGAAAGACTTTTTGCTGTGAAATAATAAGAATCAACATTATTAACACAATAAAAATGCATTAATTATTAGCTGAACTGTAGAAAAAACAGCTCGGGATTCTGCAAAAAGAAAGATCCTAGCATGTTGTTTCTTTAATGATAAATTTTCAGGCTAAAAGCAAGTCATCAAAATTAAAAGGTATATGAAAAAGGGTAGGAGAAAGAAAGAGTACGTAAGATGAAGAAGAGACAGAATAATATGGAGTTTCACATTATTTTACAAATTCTCTGCAGTTCTTTAAACAGGGTCCTGAGAATGCAGTACCTATGGCTAATCGGAAGCCAAGGTCTATCCCTGTGTATGAGGCAGCAAAGTGCTGTGTGTCTCTAAAGGAACCTTGAAGAGTTGTGATACAAAGCTATATTCTTGAAATGCCTCATTTACCATGTGTCCAGAACTATCTGCTTCCTTAAATTTTGTAATAAGGGAAGGACTAAAAGTTTGGCAGAGCCAAGAGTTGCTTTTATCCCACTACTGTCCAGCAGGTAAAGGAAGTATGGTCCTAAGCATGCTTTATCACAAGAAAGGCCCAGAGAAATGTATCTTGATTTTCTACTGGAGCATGACAAAGATATAATTGGTGTAATCTTGAAGGGCACTTTGCCACTAATGGATAAGCCATCCTTTTCTTTTTTTTTGGAAGTGCAACAAGTTCTGAAAACATATATGTAACATTTAGTGTGTTTTATATGTTAAGAGAAAAATAATTTTCTTAAAATATACAACTATAAAATTCAAAGATACAAATATACTAAAGAATAAGGATAAAAGACAATTAAAGGAAAAATGAGAAGCTTTAAAATCCCTCCTTTTTCAAACTGTTTTTCACAAGCTGTTCTTATTCCCAGCTCTATTGGTTCACTGTGGAGTTTGGTCTCTGCAAGCAAAATGGATTGATCAAAGCTTATGGGGCAGGACTGCTTTCATCTTATGGGGAGCTTATGGTATGTGTCAAAAGCAAAGTGTTGAAAGATTTATATAATCCAGTTTTCTGAACTCTCTGGTAAAAGCAAATTATGTTCTTCTGCATAAACTGGTACAATTTATAATTCAGATTTTTCTTTTGCAAAGAAATTAATTCTCCCTTCTCAGAAGTTACTGAGTAGAGGAAAAACTACTGTGGTAATGTACCTGTCTTCCATCTAGAAATGAAATGCAATGAAAGCAACCATCCTATAAAATATTAGATCTGTAGTAATGCAGTTGACTTTAACATAAAACTCACATACCTTTCTGAATTACTCACTAGAGGGCAATATTATGCCTACTATGAGCTCAGCTGTTTCATCCATGCCATTGACATTCACACAGATATGAACCAGAAAGGCACTGACTGACTGGACCAAATAAAGTGCAAAGAAACTGTAAATGGCATGGACACTTATAAAAAGAAAATGTTTTAATATTTTACATTCCTAAATAAATTTCAAAACTAATTTCAGCTCTGTTTTACATAGATGAAAATCTGTGTATACAGGTTTAATAATGCCCTGCTTGGACAGATTAGCTGTGGAAAGAGGAACCGTACACCTTTACAGAAAGTTTACGGGTTTCCCTTCCTTTGGACAAACAGCTGATAGGAGAGATATTAACTTCTTAGTTTTGCAGAGCAATGAAGCAGGTAATGACTTTTTAATTGCAAAAGCTCTAAACTGGTGTCAGTAGGTCTCAACTGCTTCAGGTTGTGCAGGTACTGGATGATTTTTTTAAATTTGGTAAGAGCCAAAGGAAAATAAATAAGACTCTTTTGAAGCATTTTTATAAACCAGAAACTTTTCTTTCTTTTTTTTTCATGGGAGACACATCTTAAGCTCAACACATAAACCAGCAGCCTAACAGGGCTACATTCACATGTAACAATTGCTGAATTAGCATAGCTTGGACTCCCATAACTGGAGATCTTTGGATTGTTATGACAATAAACATATTGCAAAACTGTCCTAATGGTGTACGGTCAGCCCACTTCCCGTGTCAATTCAAGACATTTAAAGTAGGAGACCCAACAGAGGGGCAGCTGAAATTAACACAGAGAAAGGGGAACCCTCCCAGACATCAGCCCTCATTTTACCACTTGCTGAGTTTAGCATTGGTTTTCTCCCAACACTTGCAGTTTGGAGATTTTTGTGAGCAAAATCTGTAGAGAGCTTTCCCTCTTGAAAAGCTGAGAGATCTGCACGCTCGTTAGCCCTCTAGAGAAATAAACATGACTTCCTTTCTACACAGCAGCCTACTCTTGGCCTGAATGCTCATGAATTTCAGTGTACTAGCACTACTGTAGCAGGCATCTGTGGAACAATGAGGTGTATTGCTTTGAAACAGCAGATAAATAAGCTCCCCTACCGATTAGGCTCCAGTGGAATGCATTTTGTTTACATGTCTATCTGTTCTAGGATAAGGCTGAAGCTACTGTTTATTTGAAAATCCTTAAGTACTTGCTATTTTCACTGCCAACAAACAGGAAAAATAAACTTGCATTTATTTACCTGGTAGAACCACAGAGATCCAGTGTCGAAGCACAATTCAATGCAACATTTATTATAATCTGCTTATCTTAATATTTTATAGTTTTAAGTCAAATTTATTTACATGTTAAATGGGATACTAAAGGGTACAGGTAATCATATTGCTGATACTTATGTAGCTTTCATAGCAATATGCACCCCAGAATCTATCTGTATGATGTTGCCTCTTTTTTTTCTGTGTAATTTTGACACAGATGAAGGTAAAAAAGTCTCATCATAAAATGTTCGCTTTTGGAGAGTCTGGATTTCAGTGCACCAGATTTGTGCTCTCTCCCCTCTTTTTCTGTCCTTTTCTTCCCCAGACACCAACAAGCTCTTCTGCTTTTGATTAAAGCAGTAGGCAAGAACTGCTTGTGCACAAAACTGTGCTATATAACACAAAACTACAACTGCATCTCGAACTCCCTACCTCCGAGGCTGACAATGGAAGTCATAACTATCCTTGAGTTGATAAATGGCAGTTTCTTTTCATTACTTGTATCATCAGTAGTTGTTGGGTAAAGCTACTGGATAAACTTTTGATAAAGCTGGGTCCACCTGGGTCTTCATCATATTACTGAAAATACATGCAGATGTGATGGCATTGATATTCAATATGTAATGAAGAAGAATTATCCCCCTTCCAACAATGTGTTCATTTAACACCTAATTCTGAAGATGGGCAAGTAGTTAACCAGCAATGCTGTTATGCACCCTGTACAATCCCTGTGTGAGCTCTTCAAGTTCATCACTGTGTAGCTTCTGGGACAATGTCTTGGTGGTTCTGTGCACTTCACCTGAAGTGCATCTGAAACTTTTTATGTACGAGTTAATTATATCCATGGCTTTAGGCGCTGAAGTTTCCTTCTGTGGCTGACTGATTCATCTTTTTATTTAGAACCAAACTGAAATATAGAAATATTTCCATTTCATCCCTGTATTCTGCATAAGCATCTGATTCTAACTTCAGTATGGACAGTGGCAGTGCAAGTAAAGAGGTGAGGTCCTGTGCCTAAGCACCTGCTAGCAACCTGCAAATGTATACCAACTGTTTCTTTTACGGCTGAAGAGAGGAAATATGTGTAGTGCAGTATCTATTCATAGAAGATTTTTTGTTTTTTAGAAATAAAGCAGAGGCTAGGCAGATCTGTTTGAGAAGATGAAGACTGGACGATAGTGAGGCTCATGATAGACTTCGGTTTCTTGCAAAACACAGTTTGCAGTTTTAGACTGGCACTTGGGAAAGCTCTAGATAAGTTTTGTTGCTGCCTGAGAGAAAGCCATTTTCCATACTAAAAATTATCTGCCACTCTTCTCAGTATGGGCCCAGAGGTGGGCTTCTGCATGGAGTTCCCAGACTTGATTCCCAGACTTGATTCCCAGACTTCTGCATGGAGTTCCCAGACTTGATTCCCAGACTTGATTCCCAGACTTGATTCCCAGACTTGATAACAAGTACTGTAGGATTATCACTGTGGGTCATGTGCTGGAGGAGACACACTGCAGCAATATGTGCAAAGGAGGGTTTTCCTCATCACTGAAGGCCTCTTGACCAGGAATAACTGGATGATTTGGTCATTGAGGAGGCAATAAGGGCAGGAGTTACTAAGGTTAGATGGTTAACTACAAGAAGAGAACACCTAAGCAGCTGGGGAGGGTGAGCATCAGTACATCCAGCTAATGTGGTATGAGAACTTAGCATCACCAAGAAGCCTGGGAACATCCCTGAACTGCAGCCTGGACTGACTCTCTGTGGGTGTGTGACTGCAACCCAGGGAACCACATCCTGACTATGAAGTCTTCAAAACATTTCCCTTTGTTCCACAGCACACACTCTTAGCAGTTTAAACTCAGCTTCAGGTAGATATTTGCTTTGGATGAACTGATCCTGCCCAAATTTAGGGCAAAACCTGGGGGAAAGGTAGAGGATAAGAGGTAGAGCTAGAAACTATCTGCGTGAGTCTTGCAGTTGAATCCCTGTTATCTAACAAATGATTTGGTAACAGCAGCTATATATCAGAGGGATAACCATACCCGAGTCTAAACTGAACAGTTGTAATGGGTCTGACTGCTGGCCAAACTTGCCTCCTCTGAACTGTAAGAATTCCTCCCCGACAGCTCTCAGTATTGCACTGTTTATTTCACTATATTCTGTCAGCTGTTCTACATTATCCAAAATGCTTCTTCTGTTAACACTCAGCTGGACTCTGTCCTACATACTGTAAAATCTTATGGCTCATACCGCACTTCTGGCAACACTCAGTGCTACATATGCTTTTCTTGCAGCACAACTAGTACTTAACTTTTAGAGGCCTTTAAGGCCATCCAGTTTCAAGCTGAACTTCCACTGAAATCAATGGGATTTCAGTTCTGCTTCAACACTGACAGCATAGCGGGACCCCTGTCAGGTTTTGAGTTTCTGAAATCTTTTCCCATTAGTCCCCAGAGCTTCTAAGATTCTAAGAGCAGCCTCATGTTTGTGTATACACCAACCATCTTAGATTGTATGAGTGCTCTCCAAAGTTTATTCTTCAATTACACACTGAAATGAAGAGCAAGAAAAACACCATCTTTTAGAATTTTATATTATTGTTCTTTTTTTTTTTTTCCTTTAAAGCCATGTTATGTATTTCTGCACCAGTTCTGCAGCACATTGATCTCCTGGTTAAGGCAGGCCTCCAGTGATGGAGAGTTCAGGCCTGGTTCAGTGAAATATCAAAAAATGGGCTTAAGGATACTGTCTGAATTTTTCCAGTTAGCAGACTGAACTGCAAGTCTTCTGTTGTGTCACCCACTCTTACCAGTTATTTACAAGTACCATAAGAGTTGGCATTTGGATTATAAAATAGCGAAGGGAGCCTCGTGAAGGTTGAGGAAGGAGAGAGAAAGGCAAAGAGGCAGATATCAAAGAAGGGGTGGGTACTAAAAGACTGTCTCTAGGTGGATGAGTCAGTCTGAAGGTGGATAAAATGGTTTTAACATTGACTGAGATGGGTTGCCTTTTTCCTTTTTGTTTGCACCCAGGACACTTCACCACAGTGTCTGTGGGACACCAACCTGGCCAACTAGAGGCACAACCAGCTTTCAGGCACATCTATGATGCAGTTTAAATGTCACTAGTGCTGAGCTAGCTTTAAAGGACCTCATTTGGGCTTCAGGGGCAGACAAACTGTCTAGGAACTCACTTTAAACCTGACCTGTGTTGCCTTCCTAGGACTGTGTGATGATATTAAGCTGGTGTCTGGTTTAAAGGTATCTCCAGTATATGTAAACAAATGATAAAGATGTGCCTATGGACCACAGTGTGGTCAGAAGTGGCTTCCGTAATCCTCCTGTTTGCCTGAGGGACAATGTAAAAGAACTTGAGAAGAACATATAAAAGAACCTCTGTGGGTCCAAAGACACAAACACGCACACACAGAGGATACTGCTTATTTATATTTTGGGCTTCAAGGAAGATTTTAGGCTGCCCTTTAGGCAGGGGGGCTTTGAAGTACTGCTGCACAGGACCGGGAATCTTCTATGATACTAGTTGAAGAAAAGTAGCATGATATTATTTTCTTCCAGATACTTATATTTTGAGAAGTGCCATAGACTTTCCCTTCCGTGTCTGGGAACATGGCTCTGGTATCCAGTAGTCCATCAATATAATATAGGAAATATATATTTATTTTTTTAATTTATTTTTTTAATATTTATTATTTGGTTTATTAACTGCTAATTATGAAAATCAGCTTTCACCTGTGAAAGAACAGGACTTGATATTACCCCTAACTATTCCACAAAGAGAATTTCACAGTCCAGCAGGGACTAATTCTTTCTCTGTTCATTCACCTGCTCTAACCTGTGTTGTTCCTGCTACAAAGTATGCTTTGTCAAACAAACCAGAGTACAAGCCTTTTGATCCAGAAGTGACTGCAGTTCACCCCTATCAGGATCAAGCCTTCCAGCCTGTCTATTTCATAGCAGAAAATTTTGAAGATGCCAAGGTCAAGCTTCAGTAAGTAAAGTGATTGTGGGTATTTTCATTGAGGGGGTCGCACTGGCTTGAGTCTTAATTTCAAATACATGTACCGCTATTGCAATAACCATGCCAGGCTAACTCATTGCATCTGCTTAATGGCTTTTTTACAACAAAATTAAACATGAACTTGTTTATCTCAGAAAAGCTTCATAAAAATTCAGAATTATATCTTGTTATGCCCTGTCTCATGCTTAATCTTAACAATGCTTCATTTTAGCAACTTCTTAAGTAAAGTCTGTAACTAATAGTGAGAGTGCAGTCCCACCCTATGTGCTAGTCCATACAAAGAGGAGGCCATGAAGAACTGATTTACCCAAGGTCACACAGAAATTTTATAGCAGTCTCAGGAATTAACATGGATCAGCAGGGGGCTTAAAAACAAGATTGCTTTTCTCCTCCGATTATATCTGCACAAGAATGCAGAATCAGCATTCACAGGCAATATAATTTCTACACAGTAGCTGACTGCAATCCAAATGACAATATTTCAAATTAGCTCAAGGTGTTTCTAAACATATTTCTTTAACTGTATTATGTTATGCAGTAAGGATTTTTTTTCTTTTTCTTTTTTTTTTCTTTTTTTTCTTTTTTTTTTTTTAAAAAGTAAGCAGAGTTTAAATTCTGGCCTTCGTCTCCAACAGTTAGAACAACATGACCAATTCTGGCTGGAGGCTGATTGTAGAGCTACCGGGGAGCATGTAGGAGCTGAAATGAGGAATTTATTAGAAGAAAAGAACCTGAGCCAGACTTCTTCCCTACTGTCCCCACCTCTCCCCCAGAAGCACTGTCTGCTGGGGCTATAGCAATGGCTAATTAGGCTCCTCATCTTAAATCTGAATGTTCACGTTAAATTTTTAATATGTGTAAAAACGTAGGTGAGAACTTACTGGCAGAAGAGAGAGGACTTGCAGAGCATTTGACTCAGGCAAACCTGGAAAGAACATACGAGGACAAGGAATACACCATTCTCAGACTTGAAGCTTTTTAATACATTTTTTCAAGACAGTTGCACAGCCAAAGCTGCTCAAAATAACCAAAGGCACAAGAATCTGTCAGCACACAAAACATATGGCAACATCAGTACAGGGGGTTCCTACCAGCGTGTACTTAATGGAAATATTGTCAAAAATGGCAAGCAGTCATGTTTTTTTCTTTTAATAGAGAGAGAAAAATAGAGGATGCCTAGTATCAACAGGTTTTTAGAATTTTATGCAGAAAGAGCTACTCCAGGTTATTTCTTGGAAGTGAAGGCGGCAGACATGCTGTGCTCCTGCATTCCTCAGCTTGTGGTTGTAATAACTCTGAATTGTGTTAGTGTAGAACTGTGAGAGCACAGACGGGTCTAAGCCAGCCACACTGAAAAAAGGCACTGCAGATCTTCAGGGCTGCAAGTTGTTCTGCCATGGGGAGAATGTACTGCACCAGACAGCATTAAAGAGTATCAGTGAGGATGTGTCAGAGCAGCCTCTGCTCCCTGATAAGTCCATGACCACATAGCGAGAAATTAGGTCCTGTAGGTTTTACACTTAAGGAAGTGCCTTTTGAACTAGAAGCTCTGTCTTCTTCCCCCACAGAAGCTACACAATGAAGATCAAGAAGCCTTTTGCTCTGTGCTATGACCCCTTCACCAACAGCGTTGAAATTATGAACACACCACAGAAAGTCAAGAAGGCACTCAGATGAAAGAGGAACTAAAAAACCTCTGCTTGGCCCTTGAAAACGTCTCTTAAAACTACAGCAGTTCATCTCACCTGTCACTGAGATACTTGAAGGTGGTTTCAGCACTTGAAGTTAGTGATGAAGCTGTAGTTGTATGCAAAAATCTTTAATGTGCAAACCAGCTCAGTTTATCTAATCTTTTCACTGTAATTTATGATGCTGACTTAAACACATTAGTAAGTTCCTATTTAGTATGTTTCAACTACACGAAAGACCAAATTATTCCAATTTTTGGTAGGTGATATGAGCTACATCTGTTTGCAGTGTATTTATTTGTTATTGGACTTCATTTTTTTTATTCCCCCGTCACCTTTTCAAGTTATCTATCACAAAATAGCATAGTAACTTTCATCCACACAGTCTTTTATTTGCTGCCTTCATGACATGATCACAACCTCTTAGGCTGGCTAGCTGCCCACAGTTAGCAGCCCTTGCAGCTAGCTCATTGCTGCTAGCAATTATTATCAACTACTGTGTTCACAAACTATGAATGGTTCCCTGACAATGTGCAAATACAAGACTTTGTAAGAGGAACACTTTACTTCTGCTCACTATTTATTTTTTAAAACACTCATCTCATTCAGTAGCCTTCAAATATGACAAAAAGATTTCCTGTTGCATTTCAGATCACAGAATATTTGTACTTTGGCTAAAAGAAAAAGCAGAAAATAAAAGGCCCAAGATGCTCTGGCTCTGTCACATACAAGGGTGCTTAATTTGAATTCTGAGAAGATTTTTGTGTAAGGAAAGATTTGCAAAGAGGCCTTTAAGAGATAGGCTTCTGCTGGTTTTTCATGGAATTCAGATTCTCCAGGATACCTTTAAAAATCTTTGCTTCTTATTGATGTCATGATGATTGTAGTAATAACCAAAAGGTCAAATATATGGAACATCTAGTGGAAAACCTAAGATCAACCACTAGCAGCTGTATAGCCTTGCTATGGAACAAATATCTGATATGTGCTCCAATTCATCTTGTTTGCCTCTCCAGCCCCTCTCTGAGATGTTCCTGAAATTTATCTACAATCTATGTTTCCTAGAATCAATCTAATAAGTGCCTATTCCGTAGTTTCATGTTCTTCATGACCCCTTCCTTCCTCTACTATTCACAAATGGAAAGTTTAGGAAAAGAAGACGATGCTCAAGACAGGAAGGATTCCATTTCCTCTTAGCAGCAGCACAAAGAGATGGGGTTGATGCAGGCTACAGGTATGGCATAAGCAGGCAAAATGTGGATCTCATGGCTCAAGCTGGGTGATAGTGATCCACAAATGTGATTCATCCTGTGCAGCTTAGAAGCCCTACTCATTTATTCAAAAGTGTGTTTAGCATGTGGCAAACAGCTACCCTGTGCACTGCTACCCACCAGCTGCCAGTGTACAGGGTCTGAACTCTGAGGTAAATGTGAGGTGGTTTGGCTCCTGATGGAAAAGGAGTTATCATCCCTTCCTGAACTGGTCACTGTGGGATAGGAGCATGTACACAGACAGTCACAACAGAGCAATCCGCATGCTGTTACTTCATGCAGAGCTTATCTCACTGTAATTTGTCCACGTGCCAGACTCTAAAGAAACTGTCTTATTGAAAGTTAACGGAATGCTGTCTCTTAAACCTTCATGTCTACAAGCACTTCAGCAAATTTTCCCATGGGTAGTAATACTCAAGATCTGGGGAGCTGTTGCAAATGCTTGATTTTATTAAAGTGTGGTGATGCCTGAAAAATTTGGAAGTATCTTGACAAAAATGGTTATGAGACCCCCTTTCTCTCAACAGCAGGAGCATCCCAAGCTTTTTTTTTTTTTTCAAGTCCAGGATTCTTCTATTCTATTCCAGAAGAACACTTGCATATCATAAACCCTGTTTTGCTAGAAATTCAGCCAAGGACAGAGCTGAAGTGAGTTCCTTCCCTTCCAGTATATTTCTACTGTGATGGAGGATGATCTCTCAGCATGCTTTTATGGATTTAATTCTACTTATCCTGCTCATAAACACACACACACAAATACCCTTTCTCCTCAGAGCAATTTGTTTCCTTACATATTGTAATAATTTATCTGTCTGCTTCCTGCCAATTGGTGCATAGGCAAAAATGTTTGATAGCTCACAACAGATTGTTTTCAGAAGTATTATTTTCATCAATCAGTCCTTTTACAGTGAAAATTGAATCATGTGCTCCAGTTCTGTGTATTTTCTTTTTCTTTCTTTTTAAGTGGAAGATAATGCCAGAGCGGAAGAGCTATCAAAATATTTTCTATAGACGGATTCTGTAGGCCATAGGGTCTTTTTCATGTATTCCCTCTGAAATGGTTGAATGTGGAATTTAGACTTGAGTTTGGCTATTACTCAGAACAGACCTATATTTGGAAGAAATGAGAGACCTGATGGATTTGTTTTGCCCAAGGCCTCACACTTTCCTTGGAGGGACTCCAGGCCCGCCCACACACCCTTGTCTTTTCCAGTTCCTGTAGCAAGCAGAGAAAAAGAAGCCATTTGGAGCCAGATTCTCCCACCCTTACACATGCTGAGTAGTACCCAATCTCTCAAGCAATCCCAGTGACAGTACTGAGCCTGTCTAAGGTGCTGCACACAGACCACAAGAGCGGGATTATCAAAACCACTGTGGGTGTACTTGCAGTTTTTTATTGTCTTGGTGATAGTCAGCTGGCATACTCGACTAGGGGAGGCTCCTCCAGTGAAACTTAGTGGAGCTGCAAAAGTAATGGATTTGGCTACTTGAACTTTTAAGATGTGTAAATGTTTTTCCAAAGGAGGTAAATCTTTCCCTCCTTCCTCAGGCAGAACCTACCCCAGGATAGCCATGTTTGACACTCCCCTCTAAGAAGGTCCAAATTCTTTTCTTTTTATTCAATGTAGTGACAAAACAAAAGTCTTCAGGGTTACATCCTTATGAGTTACACTAGTCATTCTGCTCTTCCAATAGTCAGTCTTTCACTTCCTCACAGAAGCCAAGAAGTACCTCATACTCCTGTCAGTCTAAGGCAGCAGTGATGGGACAGGCAGCAATGGGGCCTCCTGATGAAAATAATGGCACAGAGGAAAAAGCACCAACCAGTAAAAATATGTCTTTTTGTCAGTTTGCATTTCAGCAGTTTTGTATTAATCTTACACAAGAAGGTTCCAAAGCCAAGTAAAACACATCTTGTGACTTGAAACTGAACTGATGAACTCCCCATGGGTCCTTTGCTTATCCTGATAAACTTATTTTTCCTAGATGGAGTGCATTTAGAACAAAATAG